ACTACTGCAAATAGCATTTCAGCTTTGAATATTAAATGAAAGAAAAATTGGAGAATAAGCATCTAATCTCAGTATTTCTGTTGAGGCATTCAAATTCATCATTGTTGCTAATAAGTAAATCATCTTCAGTCTTTAGGAAGAAACTCTCCCTACTGACTGGAGATAAGATTTCACACATAAAACCAGAGAGATGTATATATTTGATGAGGGATTAAATTAGTGTATGATCTCTGAAGAATTCTAATATTAGCTGCCTTATTTATTTATTTATTTATGTATTTGGATATATGTACAAAGTTAAATTCATGTTAAAACCTTCCTTGGAATAAATTTGTACAGAAATTTGTACATAATCTCTGTTTTTCCACTTGGTTTCACAAAATTATGTAAGAACTGAATATCTGAGAGACACCATGATCAGGCAGTTGTTTTTCCAGGGCGAGGCTCATCCCCCACACTCCAGGTGTGCTGACCCCTGCGATTTCCCCAAATGTGGGAAACTCGACTGCATAATTTGTGGTTGTGGGGTCTGCTTTCATGCTCTCCCCTGGTTTCCCTGGTTTATTCGCCCAGGGAAGTGGTTCAGTTACTATCCCTGAAGATCTTTAAAAGACATGTAGATTTAGAGCTTAGTGATATGGTTTAGTGGAGGAATTGTTAGTGCTAGGTCAGAGGTTTGACTAGGTGATCTTGGAGGTCTCCTCCAACCTGATTCTGTGAGTCTGTGACCTGCTGATGTTTGTTTGAATGAAATTGGAGTCTGCTTTTAAAAGTTTTTTTTCAGAGTTAGAGAAGGAATGAGAAACAGCTATTTCCCCCCATCTCCCCTCAAAAGAAAAAGGAAACAAAAAAAAAGTTATGATTATGTATTTCTCATTTATTTAGGAAACAAAGCTTAAAATCCATAGTTGTGCATGCCACTATTCCATCTAAGATTTGCTGAATTTCCAGACCTTTTGTTTGCTAGTCACTAAGAAAGATCTACATCTTCACAAAAAAAAAAAAAAAAAAAAAAAAAAAGTAGAAGAGTATAATGTCATGCTGTTAAGAAAAAACAAATACACACATACTGTTCTTGATTGTATAAGGAGAAGGGTTTTTCCAGTAAAGACAGGGAAATCATCACATCAGAGGCCTAGGATACAACTGACATTTCTTGTCATCAGTTTGCAATTCAGGCCAAAACAAACACCTGAGATGGGAGGGTAGGTTGATTAATAAATTCTTGGAATACTTAACAAAGGTTGATAGGAGATGCATTTGTTTCATAAATACAGCCTAAAGACATAAATAAATGTCTTCCCTCTCTGTCTGAACTTTCTCAGTTCAGAACAGAAATAGTAATGTAACTAAAATGTGAGATTTTTATATTCTAGATGTATAGAGTAGACAAGGTTCTTATAGCCTTCCATAACTGTATCTGCCATTGAAGTTATGAACCTAGCCTAAGTAACTGATTACATATCTAGATAATACCTCAAGAGACAGATCTGTCCCTAGATAGTAATCTAACTTCTCAGACATTTATTTTAGACTGAGTGAAATTGTTGCTGTAAGGTGCTCGTGTCTCTCTCCTTTGACTAAGAAGGGAGCCTAATAATTAAAAGAAACAGTTTATTTTTTTTAGATAGCAAGAAGTAAGTGAGCTGACTGCTTCCCTCACAAAGTCTTTGAAAATTCATAACTATTTTTCATGACCAGAGTAGAACTCAGCTTCTGTATTAATTTCAGTTTTACCTTGGATTGTCTCCAGTTTTAGGTGGATTAACTTCTGTTGTACCTTGAAAATATGTACATCTTCCACATACTAATGGAAACTGATTAAAAAAATTAATCCCATCAACTTGCAATACTAAGATAATACTTCACTTGGAAATTTAATTTTATTATAGAGTGCAAAATTGTGGTCTTAAATAAATGTGATGAGTGTTAAGACACAACTATGTTATGAATGTTTGCTATAAATATAGCCTTCCAAAAAAGGTCCCAAACCTTTAAATTTTTCATTAATTATATTATAAGGAAGTCCAGTAATATTTGCATAAATACATATATATGTGTTCCATTCTATCCATCATGTTATTTTAAAATATGTTACTCTTTTTCTTTTGCATGTTTCTTATGGCAAATGTTAGTATTGAAGGAATTTCATAGCCCCAATTTCATGCTCAGAAAACAGAACTAGGATATAATATATTTTTAAGCTAGACAATTTCTAGAGATACACCTTTCTTTCCTCCTAATAGTAATCTCCAGTGACTTTTGATTTGGAGCAAACATTATTTCTATTATTTCTTAAGTAATTTCTTGGTTTAGTACTGGAATGTGAAGAATATGTTTCAAAATATTCTCAAGCATCTTCCATCTAGATTCTGTTTAAGGAGTATTCCCAGTTTTCTCAGCATGAATACCATTTACACTTTTTTGTTATTCTAATAGGAGTGTAAGATTATGCATTGTGTCCTTTATCCCAGTGGATTTTGTTCCATCCATTTTGCTTGTTTATCTAATCTGATAACAGAATATATTAAACAAATCTGTCCTTGTGTTACAAGTATTTATTATTTGTAAGGAATAGGAAATAGAAATATGAAATTAATTTTCATTATGAATTATACTTGCCCTCAGAAGAAGTTGCTAGCGATTGTGTATTTTTCTTCTTCTAAGTAAGAAATGAGATTATATCATATTACATTGATTAGAAATTCACTGCTAATATGAAACCTTTACTTATTAGGAAATACAAAGCAAAACAAAAAAAGCCAGCATTTGTTTTCCTGCATTGAATGAGTTAGGATCTTTCTGTCTCTCTGAAGGCAAGTACAGTCAGGATTTCAATCAGTGTTGGTGTTCATGAAAATTAAAGTGTGTCACGAATTGTATGAAACAACTCAGACAATGGTTTGTTATATTTGATAAAATTTATGCATTAGTTACATTCACATGGCTCTGGAATCTGTTGACATCAAAGTTAAAACAAATGTAGGTAAGGTAAAAACTTCTTTGGCCAAAAATGAGATTGACTTCTTTGTGTTGTTTGTTTGCAAAAATAATTATCAAATTTGATTCTGTTGTTATAAAATTTGGAAAACATTTTCTGAGGCAAAATCAAGTCAATTAATAATACCTTTTCAAAAGGTATTTTATAAAAACTGAACTTTTCAGTCCTTCTCAAGTTTGCTTTTGAGTTGTAGATTTTTAATTTAAAACAAACAAACAAACAAAAAGTAATTGAAGCTCAAAGAAAATTGTTGAAGAAATTTGGAAGATTGTTTCAGTTCTCAAGTTTTCCCTCAGTTGGATTATTTATTTATTTATTAAATTCTGTGGCTGCTTTTCTAGTATTCTGGAAAAGTCTGAGAAACCATCAGATCCTAATGGAACAAATGGCTATACTTATCTTACTTTACTTTAAATTTTACTTATTTACTGCTCTGTTTTCTGCATAAAACAAACAAACAAACAAACAAACAAAAACACATACAGTTGATTAGCTCCATCCTTACAGGCTTTAAAGCAAATTAGGTCATGGACCATGGGAAGAAACTGAACTTTAGAGCACATTATGTAGGACATACAATTTTTCTTCTAGCAAAACAAAACAAACAAACAAACAAAAAAATCATTATCCCTCTTTGTCTTAATATTTTTAATGTCCATATTGGATTCACACATAGCAAAAATCTACACGAATGCTTTTTCATCTTAAGAAGTCATGAAGACCTTTTTATTTTTTTAATGGATATTTCTTGTGTCCAAATGAATAGACATCTATGTCCTTTTCCAATAAAACCCTAAAATCTACAAGTTAAATTTTGTTGCTGTTACCTAACTCTAAGATATAATAATATAATTCAGAGTATACCAAAGCCCCCACCATATTTAAATATTAAAAATGACAGCTGATAAACAATACAAATTCTAGCACTAAACTGTTTTAATATGCCCTAAAATACCAAATCAACTAGACCTCTGTATTATGTGATTTAATAGAGTTTATTGCTTGGAATTTTGCAATAAGGTTTAATCCCTTCATGTACACCATCATACAGTAAGATTTCTCTTAGAAATCCTGTAATACATATCTTTAATTCTTATAAAAGTGATGCTGGTCATATTGCTATGTTGTCATGGGAAATGGTTTCAGTTAACTATACCTAAAGTTTTCCAAGTATCTAAAATAGCTAATCACTAAGTGTTTTTTTTGTTTGTTTGTTTTGTTTTCCATTAGAATGGAAATATTCATAATTCACATTCCATTACATTAGTCTAAAAAAAAATTAGTCTAAAATGTAATCATTCTGTGAGACCTTAGTTGCACAAGGAGAGTAAAAAAATAACATACGTTCTTGGTTATAAAAATTAAATATTTTTCTTCTATTGGAACAGCCTTTATACCCAAAACTTCTTATTGTATGGGCTGAAAACATTACAATATTTCCTTTGTTAGACCAAGGAGAAAACACTTCCCAGCTCTCTCAGAGGTACTTGCTTTAGTGTGTCCCACTTCCCAAATAATGCTAAAAAGTTGGAGTAGTTGTATTATGCTGTCATTTGGAGACATGAATGAGGAGAAAAGTCCTCTATCTCCATCTCTCTTTTTAGAATTCTCTCTGTGAAGAATTTTGGCACAATGTATGCTCACTATGGATTAGTGCAAGAGTGGATGGATAGGAACATAGCTGGAGCTAACGTGATTTCTAAAGGAAAAAAAAATCATGCAGAATAAAGTGTGGGTGTACAGACACATTTAGTGAAACTGTTAGCTGATGTTCTGAATGAAACTGCTATAACAAAAAAGCATTAATGCTAAAAGTATTTACACAATTGAAAAATAATCTGTTTTAAAAAAAAAAAAGTTTCCTCATTCACCCTGGCATTTCTACTTTACTGAATCTCTTGTAACAATGTTTTCGTAATATACTGTAGCATATTCTTGTTGTCTCAGTGCTAAAGGTCAGATGTTTTACATTTAGTATTTCCTGGTGTTAAAAGCATGATAAAATATTTAATATATAAATAACAAAAGTACCCCCACATAAGCCCAGGTGAGTGCAGGGAGAAAAGAAGATAAAGATATTAACAAGATTGCAAATGATGGGTCTTCACTAAGCAAATGGTAAGGAATTACATGACTTAGACCTGCAGTTTTAAAACAATAACCAAATAATCTTAAAGGCTGAAATATCAGAGAAAAATATTACAGTAGCTGATCATTTATTGACAATCAGTTGATCCAGATGGAAAATATCTGTGTTTTTTTATTGTTCAAGTACAAAGTGAAATAATAAAAATGTACAACTTTCATTAAGAAAAATTACAATATATCAGGTTTTAGCTAAGACAACAAATTTTCTGGGGATTTACAGATTTGTCTGCTTATAATGGAGTTAATTTCCATGCATTCTGTGCATTGTGAAGAGTGCTTCAATCCATGACAGTAAGTGAGGGACTGAAGAGCCAGTTCTCAACTGCAGCTAATTGGTTGACCATTAATCCCAATTGACCATTGGGATACAAGATCTTACTCATGGCAGAAAAATGCAGCTGCCAGGGAGACTGAGAACTGCCCTGAGGGTGAGCATAAGCAGGAGACTCACAGACTGAGGACTGAGACTACCAGACAGGATGGAAGAAAAGCTGCTTTCTTCAGCTTTGTATATGTCTTGAAAATGTATCTCAGATGCAAAATGGACTTGGTAGCTGAGCAGAAGCTCTAGTGAAGCTTTTTCCATTAGGTTGCTCTTTTCATTCCAAAGACAATTGGCTACCAGATCTGGCCAAAATACACTACCGACAAGCATCAGTGTGAATAACAGATGCAAACACTGACGCCAAGTCACAAAGACTCAATCAAATCAATCAAAAATCAATGCTGCTTGGAGTTTCTGTCACATTACAACAGCAGTACTCAATGTGATGGTAGCATAACACTAAGCAATCAAATCATGATCAATCTTGAACTTGATTGCAGAGTGTGACCTGTGCTCAGAATGGCTAAGGACACTCTCGGAAGCTGTATTTCAAGGGATCCATGCTATGCTAGTCATATGCTTTTCTTAGAGGTTTTCCTGGAAGCAATCTTCTTCACCAGTTCTGTTGTGAATTATGGACTCATCATTTGATTGCAGAAATAGAGATTTAAGGTGTGAAAAAACAGACAGATGTTGGTGTTCAGAAAAAAAAAAAAATGCATACTTGAAGATAAGCTTAGTATAGAGAAATGTACAAATACTACTTTTTCAAAGTAATGAAATGTAAAACCTATAATGGGGGCATCACTTTGTTGTCTCAAATATTTTTAGACTTCACTTAATGCAGGTGAAATTAAATGCAGTCATGTTTAAAAACAGAAGGAATTCATTTTCTCCTAGCAGAGACAGAGGAAACATGAACATTTCATTTTAAGTTAGTGCATTTGGGTTATGTCAAAGTGAGTGAAGTTAGCTATATAGCCTTTTTTTATCAGTCCTGTTTCTAACTCTGAAAAGTGTTGGTAAAAGCTGCAGAAAGTTCCTCTTCAAAAAACTTTAGCTCCTATTGATAGAGGTCTATCACTTTCCTTAGTCAAATCCCAAGAGGAAAAGAGAGGGGAAGAAAAAATAGAGAAAAACTAATAGATATCAAGATTATGATGGGTGACAGTCACTTATAAAGCTGCTATAGAATTCAGACTGCAGAGTGATTTTCTAGCCTCTTGATTCTTCATCATATGTCAGCTCTTCAAGGTAGAGTCTGAGCACAACAGAAAAGTAGAGCAACAGAATAAGGAATTTTGCCAATGAATGTAACAGGATGGTAAACAGCTTTTATGACTAGAGATGTAGTCTTCCTCAGATTTTCCTGGAAATTTCCCAACTGAGAACAAAGAGGGACATTCCTGTTGAATACTTACACCAATCTACATCCCAAAGTTCAAAGTATTTTGTGAAGGAATTATCAGCATTAGCTTACTAAACATCTGTTGCAGAACATTTAAGGTGAAAAAACATACTGTTGCACTTGCTCTCCTGTTTATTTTATTTTATTTTATTTTATTTTATTTTATTTTATTTTATTTTATTTTATTTTATTATTTTATTTTATTTTATTTTATTTTTTTCAAGCAGTGGGAAGGTGAAGTGTTTCAGCTGTTTGGGGGATTTGCTGTGGAAGCTGTTGTTGGTTTCTGCAAGGATGCCCATGACTTCTTTATAAACAGGGACAAAAAGCCATACTGGTCATTTTTTCTCCTTCCTGTAAGAAAAAAGTTTTATCCACATGAGGTCTGAAGTGTGAAAGCAGTAGATTTTATTTTGAAAGAATATGAAGTATCAGAAAATCAAAGATGTTTGCATTATTCTCTCAGTGGAGAGAATTAAGGTTTTGTGCAAGATTCAGAATTTTTAGTCTCTATGTTCTTACTCCCACAGCAAGCAAGCAGTTTTAAAATCATTAATCCTTTTTACTGGGTCTGACTGGTATGGAGTTACTTTTCTTTACAACATCATGGATGGTGCTGTGCTTTACATTTGCACAGCAAAATGCAAAGGAGGAGGAATAATAATTGTCATTATGGCGTTTGTCTTCCCAATAAACAGTTACATGTGCTAAGGCTGTGCTTTCTAGTAAGTGCCTAAACATGTGCCTGCTGAACAGAACTAATGAGTAAATTCCTTCTTTTGCTTTGCTTGCACACACAGCTTTTGCTTCCTTATTATCATTATCTCATTTCATTAATTTTCTTACCTTTCTTCTGTTTTCTCCCGATCTCATGGGAGGGGAGAGTAAGAAAGAGGCTGTCTGGGTGTTTGGTTGTCGGCCAGGGTCAACCCACCACACCTTTTGTTTGCACTACAGAGAGAAGCAAGAAGAGAGAGAAGCAAAAGGCTTTAAGTGATATTTCCATTGTAATAGCAGTAGAGTATTTCAATAAAATTCTGACTGAACATATAGTGTATTAACTGTCATGCTGGGGGGAGGGTAGCAATGAGATAGATGTGCTAGACCTGTTGGTTTTGGATGTGCTAGAGCTGTTTTTGTCTACATCCAGTCTTTACTGAAAGTGGACAGGGCAAAGATCCATGTGTAGGAAAGTAGCATGGAGGAGTGCACAACTTCTATTTCTGGACTCATGCTGATAATGTGATACTGAAACAGAATCACGGAAGGTACTGTTACAAGGCTGCCAAAGATCTGGCAAACTTGTGGTAGCCTCAGGGTGCTACAGGCGTTGATTTTTAACTTGCTTTAGTGACAGATGCACAACAGCAGTGCAAAGAATCATTCTTTGCTGCCTAAATCTGATTTTCTTTAAAGAGAAGACAAAGAAGAAAGAAGAAATAATATAAAAAGAATGAGTTTATATAGAAAATAACAGAAATCGAATTCTGTCAATGTAGGCTCACAAACCTTGTAGAAATGTGATAATTGTTCTCTCTGGACCAGTAAGATGAGGATGTCTCTGAATAATAGGGTGGTAGAGATTCAATCACAATGTATTAAAAAAAAAATAAAAAAAAATATAAGGCTTGCCTCTTCTTATTGTTGATTTTGAAATTATGAATGCAAAATTATGTACCATTTTGTCACCAAATAATCGTATTTTCAGCATCACTGTCATTTAACTTTTGTATTCTTTTTGTTATGGTAGTCTTGCAATATCTTCAAAAGCTTCAGTAAGTCATGGACTCAATTTCAGTGTTCACTCTGTTTTAGTTCTCTTTTTCTGAATTTTACAGACAGTTAAAGATAGTAGAGGCAGTTTATAATTTATATGCTTTGAACAAGTAAAGGTGCAGATCCCCCAAGAAAAAGCTGCACTGATGACTAATATGACCTTGTTATGATCTTTTTCATGCCACCTTTGGCTACATCACAGGAATTAAATCGCTAATGATCGTTCTGAGGCATGTGAGAAGGATGGGTAGACCCAAAGTCTACTATTCATTTCATTATATTTTTTTTATGTAAAAATGGGAGAACTAGAAAATTCTTTGTTACTTAGTTGTTGAAATGATAACAAGATAAAGGCAGCTAATGAATGGAAAGTATCTCTTAATTAGAGCTTTTAAATGAAAGACTTAATGTGGATAAACAATTAATGCTGGCAGATGATATGGGAAGATGAGTAGAAATTGTTTGGAAACAATAAAGCCAACAAGAAGAATGCATCAGTTTAGTCTGGAACTGCCCTGTGTCTATATAGTAATATAGTACTCATAAATGGGATTCATCTCATGTTATCACTTGCTTTAATATATTAATCATTATTAAAGACCTGACACTAATTATTTTCAACCTTTAAGCAAAGGGGATGCATATGAATTGTGAAAGTACAAAAAGTAGCTGGAAAAAAAGTCTTTCCTTTAGCTATACTTTTATTTCACAGAATGCCAATTACTGCAGTTATTTTTTTATATATATTTTTTTAATCATCAGTGAAACATAGTTACTAAGCTTATGCTCAAAGTGCCTAGGAAACAAGATTCATTCTGGGATGAATGACTGATCATTATTTATGTTTCCTTATAATCCTTAATCACTGTGGAAATAATTTTGCATGATAAAAGAACTAAAATACATTGATTTATACCACTGTTCCTTAATGAAATGAGTGAAACATCGTTCTGAACGTGGTTTCAGAATTACTGCAAGAACACAATCAGCAAAAAAACATGTTTACAAAACAGAAATTGTTACTGTCAAAGTAGTGACATTATCACTTTAATTTAGTCTCTGTGTAAATGACCAAAAATGTCAGTATTTAGCAATGGCTGTGTTTGGCCTTCTTAGACAGAAATTAGTTTCCCTCTAATATTGTTTTATTTTATGTACCTCCAGAAAGTGCACAAATCTGAAGCTGTAGGCTACAATCCTGCTAGATCTCCTAAACCAGAATAAGTTTAGAAGATATCTAATGTGGAAAACAGCATTGATGGGATTGTGTACTGTTGATGCAATCTTCTTAATAGTGTAACAGTCAGTAAAAGTAATGTTTAATATAGCATCATATATTTTGGTGATCTTTAATGGAAGAACATAATCAGTTCAATTCTGTAGTGCAGTTTTCCTTCTCAGAAAACACATTGTTTCATCAGGTTTAGAGGAAATGGTAAGCTCATCATGTCTAGATAAAGTAAGATAGAAATGCACAACACAGAAGCAGCTGTTTAAGAAAGACAGATTTTTTTTTCTGCTTTTTCTTGTTCATTTATTAGGAAAACCTCTCATAGGGAGCCTTCATATATTTTCACCTTTTCTGCCAGGCAGTTCAAAAAATGTTTGAAGTCCAAGGGTCTGAATCTATCATCTCTTTCTGAAAACAAAATTTTCTCTTTGAAGAAAATTTATCAGGGACTTTTTTTTTTTTTTTTTTTTTTTTTTTTCATCTGAGAGATGGGATATATGATGAAGTAAAGCATAAGGAGATAACTTTACAAGGTTCTAACTTGACAAGTGGAATTTGCAATACTGTTGTAACTCAGAGGTGATATCCAGTGGAAATCAATGCTGAAATTAAATGGCTCACAACATAAATATAAATGGTAGTTCTCAGAGGTGACTAGTAGATTTTATGTCTTCAGTATCAAGTAGAAAAAAGGAGAGGGGGGGGGGAGAGAGAGAATAAAAGTCTGTTCCTTTCCTTACCTTGCATGTGGTTGGTTGGAGAATGAATTAATTCAGACATAGAATTACTACTAGATGTGATGTTTGTCTGAAGGAAAAATAATATGATTATCATTAGTACAACATCAAACATTGGAATACTTCACTAAACCCAAAAAATACTGAGGCCAGGGAGAGAATTTTGAGTGTAATACTTTCTATCTCACATTGATGGATTGCTGTATGACATTTTATTTTAATCTAAAAAAACCTCTGTTATTAAGGGCAAGACAATTTGTCTAGAGCTCAGACAAGGTGAGATTTACTTTGATCTCAAGCAAGGATCTGAGAAGTCTAGAAAGGAGTCTTTTAATTGACCTAAGATAATTTGGAATAAATGAGAACATGCCATGATTCGACATGAGAGGTTCAGAGGTGAATGAGAACGGATTTGGAAATAACTTGGAAAACAATTAGTTTTTTTCATGTTGAATATGAAAAAAAAAAAAAAAAAAAAGCCTACCTTACTGTCTGTGACAGTTGAAGTTGAATCATGTAATAGTAATGTAATGACATTGCAAAAAGCCTGAATGTAATAACAGCAGTCTTAATGAGAAGATATGAGAAAGCAAAAGGCAATTTGGGATCTCTTACATTTCTAAATTCTACTATTGTAGAATGAATTTTGAAAGTGGGACACTTGGTTGTAGCTTTTTTTTTTTTTTTTTTTCTGTGTAGTTTCACAGTTTAATATATTATAAAAAATTTAGAGACAGTGGTGCATTATGGCTTTTCTCCACAAAGACAAACCCATGGAAGTGATTGGGTTTAGTTCTTCCTATGTCCTTAGTTCATTTATTATTAAATAGAGAAAATAGGTTAATTGCATCTAAGTATACTGACATGTCATGCAAATTATTTGGTTTTCATAAGGTATGCAAGTTGGTTTTTTTGTTTGTTTTTTTTTGTTTTTTTGTAAGGTCAAATAAATAATGTGATTTTAGACGTATTATTGTAAATGTGGATTTAAAAGTTTTGATCACTAAGTACTGTTGGTTATCTTTAATCTTACAGAATATTTTTTTTGTAAACTGACATATTTAGTGAGTTTTTGAATTATTTTTGTAATTTGTTGACTACTTCATTATCTCTCTTCAAATGGGCATTCAGAATAAGAAAATCATTTCTCTGTGTTGCATCTGATTTCTTTGCAGTCCAGTCTTTGCTGTGCCTTTCATAGTTAATGCAGTTGTAGGAACAGCTAAATTTTTTTAAAGTAAGAGAGCATTAATACTGGAAAATCATGAAGCTGGACTTATGAAATTTCTTATTACTCCTTTTGATAACTAATTGCTTGTTATTTCTGCTCTCAGTAAATGGTCTTGTAATAATTGTTGAATGATAAGAGGTGGATTTTTATACCACCGCTAGCTTTCTGGTGGAATGCTGTTGAAAAACTGAAGAATTACAGTTCAAGAGTCTATGACAAGAGTTTTCCATCTGAACTTTCTTTTCCCAGGCTTCGCTACAAGAAGTGGCATATTGATTTTTAAGCCTACATTATGAATAGGAATGTAGACAAAAACCTTAGTTTTTGCTACAGATTTTATTACATATTTTGCAGTTTGATTTTTTTTCTGAAACCTCATTTTAACACTGGTAGAACTGTGATTCCAATTAAAGAAAAATTGCTTTGAAATGAGAGATAAGAAAAACATCCTAAATTACTCTTCATCTGTTGATGTAGCCATTGGGAAGAAAAAGATAGCAGATGAAAAGGTGTTAATTGAAATTTTTTTACTATGCTTGGTGCCATTGTAGTCATCCATATGCTTAAGTAGAAAGAAAGGCTAGGTTGTCTGAAGCAAAGCTAGATTGTCTACAGCTGAAGCAATTTTTTTTTAATTTATTTATTTCCCAAAAGTCTTAGGGTGCAAAATGTACCTTTGTAATAATTTATTATATGGGAAGTAAAGGTTGTAACCTTCACTTGCTCCCAATATACATGTATTTAAGGACATAGGACTAAGATAACTGTGCAATCCTTATCAAACATGCATTTGTTTATTTGTATTTCAGTAGCTAACATTTCACTGTCAACTGCTAGCAAGCTAAGTGTCATAGGAAAGTACATATTCTTCAGCTTTATCAAAAACAAGCAAAAAATCTCTTTTTACTTCACAAAATATTTTCCCTAACATAGAGACAAGCAATACTTTATTTGTAAAGACAAGATCACTGAGAAAACTGATCAGGAGCAAAATAAAAATCTGAATTATCTTATAACCAAAACCATAAATAAATAAAATTTCTGTTACTTAAATGATGCTCTGTAACTATACCAATTTCATTTCAAATACAAAGGAAGCAAAAACATTAGTCATGAGTGAATTTTAATAAGAAAAAAACAAAAACAAAACAAAAAACAAAACAAAACAAAAAAAACCACAACTGTGTCCTGGTTTCTCTGTTGAAAACTAGCTGAAATCCTAATAATCTTAAAGCATATCTAAATTATTAAAACCTGATCCACAGTCAGGAGAAATAGCCACATAAAATCACAAAGCTTTGTTTCAGATTCTAACTTGATATCCAGGTTTTCAGGATTAGTTTTATCAGCTTTGTAGTGTTGAACCATTTCCATATTTTTATTTTCTTAGGTTGTGAATCACAACTATGTAGGATCACAATTAATTTCCGGTGTTTTTTTTTTGTTTGTTTGGTTGGTTGGTTGGTGTGTGGCTAACCACTGAGGCTAAGCTTTTCTCAGTTTCTCAAGAAAGAGCAGAGTTAAAATAATAAGTCCAAGTGCAGACTTTCATTTTGTTTTAATCTCTGACTAGGAAAAACACCAGCCACTGCTCCCCTATTATTTTTCTAGGTTAGGATGTTTAAGCCCTTGATAAATCCCCAAGATTAATAAGTGAAAGAAAGAATATAAAATGTTTCATTGCACTCTCTGAAGCTAGCCTTCTGCACTTTCATGAATGTTTTAAAGCACACTGTTACTGCTAAACATGCACTGTTTTGTTACTATTTTACTTTAAAGCCTAACGAGGGATATTCAATAAAAATCTGTAACATGGTACGTTATTATGTTATTTTTTAATTATTATTATTTTTAACTTTGGTCAGTTACCACATCTGAAGAGGAATGACTTGCTAAAAAGTGATTGGGAGAACACTGTCCAAATCTCCTTTTCATTTGTTTGATTTGACACTTTCAGAAACAGTCTTGGAGCTAGCTGGATGCTTGCAGAAGTTTATAAATAATTAAATAATAATAATAAACTAATATATTTGCTTAACTGTGAGAACATGGCCCAGACGGATGTTTTCCTCTCATTTTAGAAATGGGGAAAACCTATGTGGTAACTCAGCAGTGGTACACTGCACAGTTCACAGGAACCCACCTTGTCCTGATATCGTGTGAATATATCCCCTCCTGACTTGGGTAAAGTTTAGCAGATAAACTGGGGAACTGTGGAAATGGGAATAATTATTCTGCTTAGCTATATTGTTATAAACTTCTACTAACATGGAAAAAACTGTTACAGCAAAGCAAGCAGTAGATTATAAACCTCAACTTGCAACCTGTTCATTAAGGCAGGTCTTGCTAACTGGCATCAAACAGTCCTCTTGAAGTTGTGGTTACTTTTTTTGTTTCTTTGTTCCTCAAGCATTTTGCTAATTAATTACCAGACAGATTCCTACCTGCTACATCTTATCAGGAGAGCAAATGGCCCTGCATTGTGTTGTTTATATTTTGTGTTAATTAGTTAAAGATGTTATAACCTTCACTATTGGATTATAGGGCAATCTGTGTCAGAGTGGCTGTACTAAAATTGAAGAGCTTTTTCTATTTTTATCTTACCTCATTTACCTGCTGTCTGATGTTGAATCAAGTAAGTGAAACTGGTAATGCCCTTGTGATAAGAAGGCATGGCTAGCATGCTTAAACACCTTGTTTTCTGAAGAGGTATGTGTCTTTTTATGGAGAGCAGTTTGTTCGCCAACTCCACAGAAAATAGATGAAATGTTGCAGGATACTCTTTTCTGAATACTCCTCTTTGTTCCCTCCTACACTCCTTAAATTTCTACCTAGTTAAAAAATATTGTATACCATATGCATAAGAAATAGTATATGCTTTTATGCTCTCTAGGTATGTTATAATGAACAAGAATTATTGGCCTTATCAGCACACCTCAGCTGAGTGCTTGGTAGAGTCAAAAAGCAAAATTCTGACCCAACTGCAAAACAGTAGAAGGTTTTTTAAACTCTCTAGTAGTCCACCCATTTAGACATATTATCCAAACAAAGATGTTTTGGATTGTTGTCTTAAAAGCTTCGCTAAAATGAAGGTAGATGACTTCTACTGCTCTCTCCTCATCTGCTGGCCTAGTCATTTTGTTATAGAAGACAGGATGGCCATGGATGATTGATTTCTCCAAAGGAGTGATAGCAGTACCAAAGTTCAGAAACAGAACCATGGTGAAACACTTCAGGTCTCAGTGTTAAAATTTCCCAGCCAAATAAAATAATTAATCATTATTGCTACAAGATTGGAACAGCTTCAATTCTTCCCCTTCTCTACATAGTTCGAACTATTATTAGGACATTCCCATGGAAGATGAAAAGTCTACTTTAAAAAAGTTAAGTGTTGCCATCTTTATCCTGGTGAGCACAGTGTAAACTGTAATATTTGGGGGCCCTCCCTCTATTAAATGTGTAGTATATATTTCCAATAGATGTGTAAGTCTAAAAATAGATGGAATTTAAGTTTTCAAAGTTCCTCTTACTGTTGTCCTTCAGTGCAAGTGCTTGGCAGCTTGCAGTCACAGTGTGTCCCCATTCTCCAGTGGCTGGGATTCTGATTTCCACTCTGGGTGCTGGATGCTTGAAATACTTATTTTTCTATAGCCAGTGTTCTATGTCTAAAGCATATTTTGGAAATAGGCCTATACTCATAATAAATGCCAAATATTTTATAATATTTATAATATTAATAATAGCAAAAAAAAATTAACATTCATAACAGGTTTTCTATATAGCTTAGATAAAAACCTGAAGGCATTTATTAAAATAATAATCAGCTCAAAGTTTTTCATGACAACCTTGTGAAACTATTGGTGCAATGATCTGTTAAACTTTGAGCTAAAATACATCGCTAACTAGGA